AACGTCAAAAACAGTGATACAATGACACTTTTAGTGATAGATATAACGTCAAAAACAGTGATACAATGACACTTTTAGTGATAGAAATAACGTCAAAAACAGTGATACAATGACACTTTTAGTGATAGATATAACGTCAAAAACAGTGATACAATGACACTTTTAGTGATAGATATAACGTCAAAAACAGTGATACAATGACACTTTTAGTGATAGATATAACGTCAAAAACAGTGATACAATGACACTTTTAGTGATAGATATAACGTCAAAAACAGTGATACAATGACACTTTTAGTGATAGATATAACGTCAAAAACAGTGATACAATGACACTTTTAGTGATAGATATAACGTCAAAAACAGTGATACAATGACACTTTTAGTGATAGATATAACGTCAAAAACAGTGATACAATGACACTTTTAGTGATAGATATAACGTCAAAAACAGTGATACAATGACACTTTTAGTGATAGATATAACGTCAAAAACAGTGATACAATGACACTTTTAGTGATAGATATAACGTCAAAAACAGTGATACAATGACACTTTTAGTGATAGATATAACGTCAAAAACAGTGATACAATGACACTTTTAGTGATAGATATAACGTCAAAAACAGTGATACAATGACACTTTTAGTGATAGATATAACGTCAAAAACAGTGATACAATGACACTTTTAGTGATAGATATAACGTCAAAAACAGTGATACAATGACACTTTTAGTGATAGATATAACGTCAAAAACAGTGATACAATGACACTTTTAGTGATAGATATAACGTCAAAAACAGTGATACAATGACACTTTTAGTGATAGATATAACGTCAAAAACAGTGATACAATGACACTTTTAGTGATAGAAATAACGTCAAAAACAGTGATACAATGACACTTTTAGTGATAGATATAACGTCAAAAACAGTGATACAATGACACTTTTAGTGATAGATATAACGTCAAAAACAGTGATACAATGACACTTTTAGTGATAGATATAACGTCAAAAACAGTGATACAATGACACTTTTAGTGATAGATATAACGTCAAAAACAGTGATACAATGACACTTTTAGTGATAGATATAACGTCAAAAACAGTGATACAATGACACTTTTAGTGATAGATATAACGTCAAAAACAGTGATACAATGTCGCTTTTAGTGATAGATATAACGTCAAAAACAGTGATACAATGACGCTTTTAGTGATAGATATAACGTCAAAAGATGGAATTTTAGCATTGCGTACAGTGCACAAAAAATACGTTTTTAAGATATTCAAAATGGCCGCCGAATTGGGTTTTTTTTTTTTTTTTTTTTAAATGTAAAAAAAGTTCTGCAAATAATTGGCATCTAGTGTGTTGATACATTTTTCAGATGCATGCTTGCTTTTCAAATTGATAATAATTTGTTATATTTGATAAAACCCCGCTATACAAGATCCAAAAGGGATTTGAACGTGACTGAAACCTTTACAGAGTACACCCTTAAGTTATGATCAAGATACATGAACTTTCTTAGACCAACGAGATATACATGAAAACAAATGCTCCTTGGCATGAATGCTTTCTCCAAACGTTTTATGCCTTATGGATGTTGAACAGATGTTTAGACTTACCAAAAAGCTCAGAGGACGGACAAGTGAAATCAGTTACCAAGCTGTCGTCCAACAAGTTCAGCAATAGTTCTTGAAAGAAGGTATTAAACTCGCATTGAACACCAGGACGAATCACTAACTCGCAGTCAACATAGCGGGAGCTGGGTCTGCTGTCTTTAAGCACGACTTTCTTTGGTGTCATCAGTAACCAACAAATCATTAGCTGAGTTGGAATCAACAAGGAGGAGTTAAAGTACCATCCGGTATCAAATGTGCTTTTTTGACCGAGCTTGTAGAGAAGATTTCGTAACACAATATTACTGTTCATCTCAATGCAAATAATTCCATATGAAAAACTATTATCGAATCATCGTGAGGGCCATCTTTTTAGAAACGACCTCTAAATTGATATATATTGCTGTCGTCATAGATAACAAGAACAGAGCGGTATTTGTCATGCTGAATTTGTCAGTTGCATTTTACATCATTGATAATGGCGAACTCTTCAATTGTCTAGATTACTGATTTGAGGTGACTGACTTACTGTGTTGGATCTAGTCCTTTTGAGGCAACGAAGACAGTGTGGTGACTTGGGAAATATTCCGGTGTTAGGACCAATTCCTTACATTTCTTAAAATTCAATTAATGATATATGTAATATGCCGATGACACACAGATACAATATTGGTGGGAGGGAAACATGTTAGAACGTCCAGTAGACACCAGTACACACGCCTAAGCTTGATCAGGAAAGGACAATAATTATAATCCTCAACAGCATCACAGGAACTGGACACACCTTTAACAGAAGTCACGGCCATTGCGTCAGAATCCTTGCTATTGGTTTTGAAATCTTATACTGTGAACTACGGAAACCTTCGTTTCAGAAAAGTAACTGCAATAATTTTGAATAGTTTACCATCTGCAACCAGAAAGGCAAAATACGGCTCCTAATGAAAGGGTATTAACCCCCTGCATTTTTGGCGTTTTGCGAATACAATTTAGCATTTGTTCGGTGCGTTTAGAGTAGTGAAGCTGAGAAGATGGAAATAGGGTTATAATTCAACAACTGGGGACCTTGGGGTTCGGTTTTAGATGTGACCATTTTCGGTTGAGTATGAGTTAATTTCCCTATCTAGCGATAGCGGCTCATTACAGTGGAATTTACATGACAAATATACATCAACAAGTGAACTATATTTGATGTAAATTTGCTGTGTTGTGAAATGGGTAAAGTATACTGGTGTTGATGCCGAGATTGATGTGACGTATATAATGAGTGAACTTTCGGTAAGTTTGTATTGACTACAAATGTTGATCTAATATGTGGTTTTAAGGAGACAACCCATTTTAAATGTTTGGAAAACTAGAGTTTAAAAGTTTAGATGGTAATCAATGACCGGGTTTTAACAGAGGTAATGAAAAAAAGTGGAAAATTTTGAATTTCATTTCGAACAATGAAACTAAACAAATATAAAGAAAAACACGCTGTCTTGTTAGGAACTAATGAGGTATCGGGATGATTGACATAAAGACGTTTGTTATGGCCAAACATGTTACAACAATTGTTAGAATAATTCATTAAAATGAATGAAGTTGGAAACATTGTGTGAATTTGATGAGAAAGTGTACTATCATTGATGGAGAAAAAAAAATTGATAAAAAAAATATAAGTATTAAATGATAATGTTCTTTATGTGAGAAGAATATAGCAAAATAATTCATTATAAGCGAAAAACATTGATGCCAATGAAAATTTATTTGGGAATAAAACATACTACTCAAACAAAAAGCACTATTCTATCAGTCCTTTACACGTAGTGGTAAACAGGTGAGAGATGTAATAGGGAGGAACTCATTCCAAAGTTAGGAAGGCATCTATCAATGGTAGATAAATGTCGAAAAGTATATAAAAAAATAAACATAGAAAGTGACACATCAGAAAAAAACAACCATAGACAACAATACGAAATATGATGCAAAATGTGATGCAAAATGGACAGTTGGATAACGTGTGAAATACTTACTAAAACATACACAAGCTGTAACGATACAGTTTTTAATCGTTAGCGTATATCGTAAATATCGTTTGTAACTTTAACGTTTTCACTGCAAAATGGATTATATGGTAAGTACGAACTATGATAGAAACCCATAACTAAAGAAAGAAGGGGGCGGGGCATACAGGGCTATTCAATTAATTCGAATCAACATGTACACAAAATTTAGACAAATCGATTCAGTGACTGAAAAAGTAGGGAGGGCTAAGACACCCAAGTACATGTACAAAATTAATACGACACAGTTTGAAACAGCGATTAAAATCAGTGCTACTCAACTCTGGCAATGTATAAATGTTATAGGGAAATAAAAACTTCTATATAGCTGTAAAATGTTGTACTGCTATTGGTAGCGGTGGCATTCTCATATAGCGTAGATCGGCGGGTTTCCGTTGTTGAACATCACAATTACCTTTTTAAATCATTTGATATAGATTCCATTTGTTATTGGCACAAAATTCTTGGGAATTGTATCCAAAATCGGAGTCAGAGGTAACTGCTATAAATTCTCTACAAAGGTACAATGCATATGAGGAACTCCATAACGGAATAGTGTTTTCCATTGAGTGACTTTTGTGAAAGACAAAGTTATCACTCGGTTTTGACCAAGTATGGTTAAATCAAAACGCTTATTAATAGTCCGAGGCTCTGCCACTAATTAAGCAAAGAATGTTTGAAAATGCACGGCAAGAGTTATTTGAAATGCTAGAAAATTCTTCGAAATTACTTGTTATTAGTAAAACTTTACAACATTATTTTAGTGAACATATCCCAAAGCTGACCAAAGCGGCACTGACTAGAGGGAGTTCATCAGCACAGACACTGCACATTTTATCAGAATGGTATCTAAATATTGCTAGACAGGAACGTGTTTGCAGAACGTTGAAAGTCTGAAGACATAGATGATGAATATGATTTCCTGTTAATGTGTCCAATTTACCAAGCATTAAGTTTAGATAAATGTACAAAACTATATTATTGAAAAAAAATCTGATTACATGTTAATATGATTATTTTGTACAACTAATCAAAATGAAATAATTATGTTAAGTAAATATATATATGAAGCTCCTCAATTAAGACTACCACGATGTAATGGTAAACCGTATGTCACTATACTGTATAGTTTGTTCATTAACTACCCCAATATTGCAGTGGCTGCCACTGTATATAAATGCCATGTGTAAACTGATGAGCCGAAAAACTAAATGGATAGGACTTTCAGCATGTTTAGTCCAAATATCGTGTTTGTTGTTTAACTGAGCATTGTATTATCGTTTTTCTATAATACTAGTTTTATGTTTATGATTTCATTTAAATTGTTCCATTGATATGTCAGTTTTAAAATCACGTATGAAGAAACTAAATGAACCGTATTTACATGGCAGTGTTAAGTGTGAAGTATATACAAATACATGTAATACATTTCATAACTATATATAAAGCGACACTACTAACAATGATACTGTCTTATAGGTTCCGTTTATAAATCATTTTGTGCACTTGTTTGGTAAATATATTAGCATGAGTCCATGGCAAGCCTTTTCATTGTTGTTACTTGGTGGTTAAAAACGCTGGTCATAGCCAGAGTTATATGGATTATTTGGCTTATTGATCTGGTCGTAAGGGGGCGGCTGGCATGGCGTTGTAGCACTGCCAGGCTGGTCATCAGCAGCAGGGTTGGCCGGAATCGGGGGCCTGATCGGTTGGTCGTATCCGGTATTGTATGGGCTTCTATGACTGCTGGATCCAGCGACATTCGGCTGTGTGCGAGGCACCACAACTTCCACACCTACACAAACGTCATCAAGTCGTATTAAAGGGTGAATATTTACACACACCGTGTGTCCTTTTCGTAAACATGCATACCATTAAATGACTTGTTTATATCTAAAATGAAAGATTGCTCTCGGGAAAATAACTTCAGCTCAGACGTATGACCCTTATGGATGTACTTCCCTGATAAGTTAATAATATATTTTTTTCTTCATGAAATTCTTGGGAAAAGGCATAACGAAAAACGGAAAGAAGGGTTTGTCCGTCTGCTCATTTCTTTCAAAAACGTGTAATTTCTTTAACTCATATTTTTATCTGAGAAAGCAAATTACCTCACCTCCATCTTTAAGTTTTGGATTTTAATAGTTTAATTTTCTATCATTTTTTGCAGATTGAAAGATTTTTATGTAAATGCTGATGACTAAATTTTCTTGAAATATTTAGGATTGAAAGAAGTGTTTTTTCCCTTAAATATTCTTATAAAACCTGTTATACTAGATCTGAACAAGATTAGGACGTAAACCAGAGAGAAGTAGATCCTAATTAAATGATACATTTGCTCCTACATTTTCATAACTGTAATAACAAAATTCACATCCAGATGTAAAATTCTCCGTTAAAATGATAATCATTCAAAAAAGTAAAAAGAAACATACTGTTTATCCACCATCAGAACCCACAGTGAGTGTTAGTTTCCTTGTAGTCAAATTATACTAACATATTTCTTAGGTCTTAAAACTGATTCTTGTGGAGAAAAAAAATAGCCGCGATAATTTCGAGATTGTTTCTTCTGAGACTGTTTGAAATAAGAAAGACAAACCATCATAAACGAGTGAGTCCTAACCGTTTACTATATTATATACCTGTCTACTTGTCGCTGTTTCTAAACGTAATCCCATCCATACAGGCCTGCTAACAAGGAAATGGTGACTGAATAAGCCGCGGTCACTTATTACCGTCACGCACGTGGTTGACGTAGTGGGGAATGACCGTAGTTGACTGTTGTAGACCGTAGTGGGGGATGACCGTAGTTGACTGTAGTAGATACTAGGTGAAGTTAAACGAATAAACGTAGTTAGACGTAGTTCCATAACCCTAACTCCCTAATTCAACACTACTTAACCCCACTTCACCCTAGTTGACTCTAGTTAACCGTATTCAACGTAGAGATGTTCAGTTTGAACATGTTGAACATTTGGCTAACCACGGCCAAATCATGGGTTTCTTGTAGTTCACACTACGTTTAAAACTATGTTGTACTACGTCTAACTACGTTTAATACGATTAACTAAGGTCATGTACTGTCTACTACAGTCAACTACGGTCATCACCAACTAAGGTCAACTACGTGCGTGACCGTTAAATGTGACCGCGGCTTAATCGATATTATTAGTACGTACGTCTGACGAGTCGTGGTTCATTTAATGCTCGCACGGTCCTGTAACGACGTAAGCACCATAACAAGAGAACGAGAATAACAACAGCAATGGCCCCTCCGGTAGAGTAGCTGTTAACATCAAAAGTATTATTATAATAACAACAGCAATGGCCCCTCCTAAGGAGTAGCTGTTAACATCAAAAGTATTATTATAATAACAACAGCAATGGCCCCTCCTATAGAGTAATGGCTAACATCAAAAATATTATTATAATAACAACAGCAATGGCCCCTCCTGTAGAGTAGCTGTTAACATCAAAAGTATTATTATAATAACAACAGTAATGTCCCCTCCTGTAGAGTAGCTGTTAACCTCAAAAGTATTATTATAATAACAACAGCAATGGCGCCTCCTATAGAGTAGCTGTTAACATCAAAAGTATTATTATAATAACAACAGTAATGTCCCCTCCTATAGAGTAGCTGTTAACATCAAAAGTATTATTATAATAACAACAGCAATGGCCCCTCCTATAGAGTAGCTGTTAACATCAAAAGTATTATTATAATAACAACAGCAATG